GATGGAGCACCACCAGGTGCATGGGCTGAATGTCACTCAAGTGGGTGCATACAAAAAGAATTTTTTTATTGTTTGGTTAAGAAAATTTATTCAATATTCAGGGGCCAAAATAAGCTCGCCAGTACTACTTATATTAGTTGGACATAAATGTCACACTAAAAGTATTGTTGATTAACATTGCGAGAGAGATTGGTGAATTATTCTGTGTTTGCCTTCTCATTGCACACATCAAATGCAGCCCTTGGATTTGGCGTTTATGAAGCCACTTAGCACTTACTATGACCACAATATCAGGAAATGGTTGAGAACAAATCCTGGATGCATGGTCACTCAATTTATAGCTGCACTTTTTGGCTCAAATAGCTACACTTTTTGGCTCAGCCTACCTTAAAGCTGCAACAATGACAAATGCTATTAATGGCTTTCAAAAAGCTGGCATATGGCTAGTTAATAATGTTTTTTCCAAAGCAGACTTTCTGGCAGCAGAAACTACTGATATTAGTTTCATTGAAACAAACCCTGTGGCTGATAAATGTGACATTGCTGTTACTAGCAACCTCTGTGTTTCTGTCAACCATCCATCTGTAAGTACCAGTCATCAAATGTTACCTGCAATCCAATTATCTGCTTTTAGCAGCAATATGAATGTTTCTAATGTCCACACAATTGCTTCAACAAGCCAATCATCTGATTTTACCAGCATAATATCCACGTCTTCCATTGTTTTAACCACTTCTACGAGCAATGTTAATACCACATCATTTCAAAATGTATCTCGAAGTCTTATTATTCCAATACCAAAGCAGTCACTGCAAAGGAGACTATCAAGGCAGAGAGGAAAAACTGCAATCCTGACCTCTTCTCCATATAGAGCCTCACTATTAGACACCCTTAATTAAAATGAGCCAAATCCTTCAAAAAAAAAGGAAAAAGGCTCAAAATGACTAACAAAAATGGTTATGGATCACAAAAAAAAAAAAAAAAAAGCTGAAGTAGATGGACAAAACAATGCATCTAAAAAGAAGAAAACAGTCAAAATTCAGAGGAAGACAGTCTATGTCTCTACTGTCAGGAAAATTACTCTACTAGTGTTGAAAGTTGGGTTTCTTATAGTGATTGCCACAGCTGGGCACATTACTCGTGTGCTGGTTTAGAAGAAAAAGATAAACGACCAAACTTTATTTGTGAACTATGTCTAAACATTGAATAAATTCTAAAACATATTATTGTTACATTGTATACCCTATTTTGCTCCTAGCATGGGACAAAATGGTTTTTTTTCATAGATTTTTAAATGTTGATAACTTTTCTTTTTTAATGTTATTAGCATTTTCTTTTGTCAGATCATAGTTTATGTTGTCTCTTGTCATTTAAAACAAAAATTGTTTTGATTTTAACTATTTTTGGCAGTTTTTGATGTATATATATATATATATATGTATATATATATATATATATATTATATATATATATATATATATATATATATATATATATATATATATATATATATATGTATATATATATATATATATATGTATATATATATATATATATATGTATATATATATATATATATATATATATATATATGTATATATATATATATGTATATATATGTATATATATATATATACATATATATATATACATATATATATATATAATATATATATATATATATATATATATATATATATATATATATATATATATATATATATATATATATATACACATACATATAACCAGCTCGCTGAAAAAAAAAAAAAAAAAAAAAAACTATTTATATTTTAATTATATTAAAATAAGATTATAGATATAATGTATTAATATAAGCTCCATATGCCTACTTCATTTTCCAAAAACTTATTCTCGGACTTTTTTTTTACTCTCGTGTCTGTTGCCAGTCTGTGATTTTCATTTATCCACAACTTTACAATTGGTGTTGCATCGAAAGCATTGACTGGCTTTCCCAATAAATTTATGGACATTAGATCTGCAATGTGATCTATTGTTAAACTAGTTCTTAATTTTGTTACAATTGTATTCATCAAACTAAATCCTCATTCCGCTTCTGCACTGCTAACTGCTATGGTGTTAGCTATTTTCTTTGCCTTTAAAATTGTTTTAGGCAACTTGATATTTGCGACTGTACGTTACCATTAACAAAATCACGAAATTCTTTGATATCAATGTTAAATTTTAAAATTCGCCTAATTTTGTGACTTTGTCCTCCCCTTTCAGCCAAGGTGAAAGTATTTCATCAAATGGCCATGTGCATGGTTCTAACACATCAAAAATATGTATAAACTTCTCATAATTATTACAAACATGTTCATTATTAAACTTTGGGTAGCACATAACAGTCTAAGCTTTATATTCTCCGCAACACCCAACAATTTTTCCCTTGGGATAAATTTAAATTTATTATTGTTTTCGAACAGTACGTATTTGAAGTCATCTGAAATAATTAAACTTGGAACTTGTATTTCATGCTTTCCAAAATTAGTTTTCCGCATCTCTATTGCTCTGTTTGAATGTCTAATTAATTTGTTTGCAAGGCATTTGAAAGAATAGAAAGTTCTTCTAAAATGTCTATCATCAAGGCCAAATCTTTGATAAAATTATATTAGCTAATCTTTTAGCCATTCCAGTGTATGATGCAGAGTTTGCAAAATGTTTGTATACTGCAGGATATGCCCGCCAAACCCCAGTAGCAAGTCTTAAGCTGCAAGTTTCCCAATGAGGACTTAACAGGCAACCAATCTTAATGATTTCAATACTCATTTATTTGGCAACGGTTTCCAACTTATATTAGTTTTTGTTGGATTGATGATATATAGTATACACCTTGTCTAAGAAAATTTTATTTCATGTTTTACTTCATTTATAGCATCATCAAGTGGTAGTTGTAAACGGTGGTTTAATCAATGCCATATCACTAAATTAGGAAACAGTTCAACCAATGGTCGTGCCAGACTTACTCTACCTAACATAGTCAATGCGCCATCTGAACAGAATGCTATAAGATTTTTTTCGTAAATAATCGTTATCAAACCCATATTCAGTTAAACAGTTTAGTAATATCTTGAGGATATTTCCTGCAGTGGTAGATGTCAATTCTTTTAAATCTACAAAAACCATCACTAGCTCAACTGCAGATTCTATTTCACTCTATATTACTAAAGTACTTTTTTTAGCGTTGATGCTTCATCTATTATAATACAGGTTTTTGAATTTTGTTTCATAATGTTTTTAAACACCATTCTTTTAATTTCGGTAGCAATATGTTTTGCAATATTAGTAGCAGTATAACTGGAATGTAGACAATTTCCAATACCAACACCATTTTTTTCTTGCAATTCCAAAGCAGCATCTATATCAGATAGTGGTTGATTGCGCTTTACGAGACTATAAACAGTGTTAAAAATGTTTACTGTAGTATTAATTGCTTTCGTATTAAGAACATCAACTATAGCGGGCAAAACTTATTTTTAAATTGATTTATAATCTCCTGAATTTTAATATGCGCTTGAGATAAGGAATGTTTTTTTATTTTTTTACGAAGTGAACCTTGTTTGGATTCTTTATTTGATCTGTTAGGAACAATCAAACCCGACACCCATTCCTTTGAAACATGTATATGTTTCTAATCCCAAGTTCTTTATTTGTAAACACCCTCGACATCCCCATTTTCCATCTTTCACTACTAGCCATTTGTTGCTCTGTGAACATCCTTAGTTGTTTCTCATTCCAGCAATCTGGTAGCTGACTGTTGATAGTAGTGTTTGTCGCGTTTGAGGATATTGGATCAAATTGTTCTTGAACTTCGGTGATAGATTTTGACTTGTTAACTGAATTTAGACATTCAACTGGGGAACTCGTTGATGGTACATTAGTTTCGTCAACTTTGGTTTTCTTTAAATTAACAAATGACAATCAGTTTCCTTGTTAAACCCTTTTCATGTTTCCAGAAAAAATCTATAATTTAAATAACTTCCATCATTGAAATAATATTTAATTAGTTTTTAGTAAAGTAACAAAAATGCTTTATTCTTGTTGCAAAAAAAATACAAAGTAGCCTTGTCTATTTTCCTTATAACCTACATCAAAATGCGATTCTTTGTTTCTCTATTGTTATTTCATTGTTTACCATTGTTACGTTGGTTATGAGGAAAATAGACAAGCTTTACATGCAATATTGTTATTTGTCACTTACCTATTATGCAAAAATTTTCATAAAACAGAGTCACAACACCAACTCACGAACTATTGTTCGAGTATTAATCAATATTTCTTAAAATGATCTAAACAGACGAAAGTACAACACGGAACTAAAAATTTTATATTTATTCTCATTTTATTTCAAAATAAATTTATTATTTTTCAGTAAGACAATAAAATTTGTAATATCTAACAAAAAATAAAGTCGACAATCGTGTACATTAATTTTAACAATGCAATGGCATTAATTTTAACAATGTTACGGCATTATTTTAACAATGCAATAAAACTGATTTATTTTCTAATTGCATCTACAAAAATCTGTAAAAACAAATTTTTTGAGAAATAATTTAACAACCGACTTGCTGATTTTCCAAAATTTTAACAACTGGCTCACCCGAGCCTGTGCAAGCCGGCTCAATCACCCCCCTGGAGTAATTGAATAATATAATGGCTCTTAAAATAATGGCTCTGTCTTATCAATAATTTTCAATGTAAAAATAGAATTTGAAAATCTCTTTTAATCTATTTGATTTACTCTTGTATTGAAAGGAATTTTTATGTTTGTACAACTAATCTTTAAATGTCTTTAAATCAAGAAAAATTCATATCTAAGGACACAATTTCTTAATATCCTTTTTGTGCTCTTATTCTAAAAATATGCGCTTAAATTTTTCAGAAAAATTAAAATATATATTGATATAATATAATGAGTATAATTAAACATAAAAGTCTACGGAATACATTGAACAAAAAGAATTAGAAGAAATTACCAGTGCCATTCAACATATTTCCATAGACTGATCTCCAACAGGTTCCATTACTAAAACAATAACCTCAACGTTTTTAACCATTAAAATAACATACTACATAAATTAGTATTAATAAAACAAACTAGTTTAAATAACTTTTTTAGAGTACGGCAAATAAAAATTTAATTATCCAAAGTAAAAAATAAATTAATTAACTTCAACTAACTCATGTAACTATCATTTAACTTATTTACATACTAAATCAATGATAACTATATATAAATGAAAAAAGTATGAAATAAAAAATTGAGAAAAGATTAAAACAGTCCACTAATTAAAACTAGTCCATTTTTTTCAAATAATAAAACTTTATTAAATATGTGTGAATATTAATATTCCTTTATTCTGGGAAATCAATCCTGCTGATAAAAAACTGTTTTTGATAGCGTCAACCGTATTTGGGCGCTGATTTGGGTCCCGCTTAAATTAATATTTGAGGGCTTTTTATTTTTTTTAAGTTCTTTTACGTTTTTTTATGCTTTTACAGCAAATATAGTTTTTTTTGCAAAATTTTGGGTGGCAGTACCCCCTCGTTCTGTCAAACTTTAACGGAAAACCAGCGTAAAAAAGTTATTTAAACTAGTTTGTTTCATTAAACGCTGATTTTCCGCTAAAGTTTGCCAGAACGAGGGGGGTACTGCCACCCAAATTTTTTCCCTAGAATATATATATATATATATATATATATATATATATATATATATATATATATATATATATATATATATATATATATATATATATATATATATATATATATATACAGCTTTCTTTGTCTAAAATGTTATGAATTCTTATAAATAAATGTAAAAAGTGTAAAAATGTAACTGTAAACTTCTTAAGCAACAACATGCATTAGTTGAAACTAAGGTTTTGGGTCAGGTCAAACTCAGATCAGGTTCAAGATCACCATGATCACCCTGCTAATGGCAACATTTAATTCAGTACAAACTGTCCAATGCCCTGCTACTTGTAGGATTCGATTTTCTCTTGGTTGAGTAAAGGCTAGAAAAAAGCCTCAGTAAAAATTCATCTTGAATAGATGTTAACTACATCCAGCTATTATCTTGTCGAAGATATTTTAAGCAAAGACTTTAGGGGTAAGCAGAAATGTTATGTTAACCACTTCTTCATCTATTAGACTGGTATAGATGTAAACCTGTACTACATTGTTTTCTGCCTAGGATGATGAATCCTGGATCTTCTCAATTCTACTAATGGGTTTTGCCTTGTGTCTACTTATTAGTTGCTATGCAACTCTTCCTGTTATATCCTAAAAAGAGTATAGCTATAAAACTCAGTTTTATGGTTCTCCTTATGAAGTCTAGCTGGTAGTAAGGTTTCTTGAACTCTGTGATGGCTCTCAAAGAAGTTTCCATCATTAGCTGTAAACTATCAACAGTACCAATTTGCACAGGAAATATGTCTTTGTTAGTGCTTCTGGTGTGCATTGTCAAGATTTCACAGTCAGGTCAGGTTATTGTTCTATTGGTAACATGTAACCCAGTACAACCTGCTTCATGTCCTGCTGCCTTGTAGGATGTGTTTTTTTAAGCAAAGGCTAGAAGAAGCCAACTCTGACTTAAAACACCCCCTTCCTTGCGGCTCTTGGTTGAGTAAAGGCTACAGGTGTCTTGATAAATGTACTCATCTTGGGCAGATGTCAAACGCATCTGGCTACTGTCTTATAGAAGGCCTCCAAGGCAAAGACTTAAGGGGTAAACAAATTCTCTCTGTTGGCTAGCCTTACACACCTTCTTCATCTATTTTTTTTTTTTTTTTTGTTATTCACCTCCTCAAGGCCGAGAAGACCACTCAGACGAGGAGGCCACTTAATAGTGGTTATAACCCTCTCTCAACTCTATAACTCCGAAACACGAACTTTAACGAACAAGGCCGCTCCGCGGAGAAACAAGTTGAGCGCGGTACTACCAGGGACGTGGTGGGGATCGAACTCAGAACCTCTCGCTTATGAAGTGAGTGTTTTACCACTACACCACTACCGCATATTAGTCTGGGACAGATGTATTTATAATAAATTGTTACCAGTTTAGGATGTCAAATACTGGATCTTCTTGACTCAATGCATGGGTTTTGCTTATGTCTCTGTTTTTATGACTAGGCAACTCATTCTATTATCTCCTAATGATAATACAGCTCTAAAACTCAGTTTATGGTTCTGAGGCCGGCTGGTAGTTAGGTTTCCTGAACTCTGTGGTAGCTCTCAGAGAGGCTGATTCCATCAACAGCTGTAAAATATCAGAGTACTAACAGTGCCATGTGCCGCATGGATGGTGTCCCTGTTCATATTTTGGTGTGCATTGTCGAGGCCACATTTGAAACTCTTTGTTACGGCATAGGGTTTATTAATTGTAATGAGGTAATTGCTTAGGCTATTAATTAGTGTACTGAGTACTATCTATGATGATACTACCATTTATTCTTGTCTTAATATAAAGCCAACACTCTCTGATTGCTTGCAGGGGGCATTTGAGCTTGAAAAGGATTTTACTTCTGCAACAGCATGGGGCTCACAGTGGCTGGTGAACTTTAATTCAGATAAAAAGATAATTCAGATAAAAAAAATTTTTTCAGCCAATCATCATCGCAATAATTTAGATCTTCCTATATTTATGAATGGTGATGTACTCAATAAATCATTTACTCTTCATCTTCTTGGATTAACTCTTACTTCTGATCTTTCTTAGAAACCATATATCAGATCCATTGCAAAATTAGCATCTGCTAAGGTTGCATCTCTTTATCGTGCTCGACACTTTCTTACTCAGGATTCTATTCTTTATCTCTATAAATCTCAAATCCGTTCTTGTATGGAATACTGTTGCCATATCTGGGGCGGATGTTTTAATGATGCCCTTCCTCTTTTAGTTAAGGTGCAAAAATGGATTGTAAACATAGTTGGACATGATCTTGCAGCCAACCTCCAACTGTTATCACATCGTTGTAATGTTGCTTCTCTTTCTCTTTTCTACAAACACTATAATAGACACTGCTTTAAAGAGATAGCACCTCTTGTGCCATCTACTAAAATTTATTCTTGTGTTACTTGTCATTCAATTAAGTCTCATCCTTTTTATGTGACTACTCCTAAGTACTCAGAAAACTCTTATTTACCTAGTTTTTTTCCTCTAACATCAGCGCTTTGGAATTCGCTTCCTTCATCTTGTTTTCCTGATTCATATTATTTGCAAT